TTTCTAAGTTTCTACCGTGTCCAGGCTCTGTGTTGCTGGAGGTGTGAATGTTGCAGGACAGAGCACTCTGGCCCCTGGGGTGTCTCCCATCTGCAGAGGACTCAGAAAAAGGCCTGAGGCTTTCCCAACCAGGTAAAAGTTAAGCCAGCAGACATTACGAAGGAAAAGCATGTCAGGCCCTGAAGATATGGCACAGAGGTCCAGGGAAGATGTCCCCAGGAAGTGACATTGGACCTGAGAACTTCGAGCCAGGTAGGTGAGGGACTGAAAAGAAATACAGAGCCTCAAATTCATGGTGATGTCACCAAGAGTCCCTGGGTATTCGAAGCTATGTCCCTGCTCCCAGCCTCCCAGCTTTTAGATTGTGTTATACCCCTTGGGGATCTCCCTTGGGGCACTATGAAGCCCAATTGGGAACCTGTGGAAAATGGAGCCAGCAACGGTTGGAAAAGGCACAGACAGATCACAGCTCAGCAGGAAATCAGAAGCATCTCCAGGGACACCGCCATGACACTTTGTCACTAAGTTTTAGAGGAAACGGATGACACCATCTCAAGTCAGCACCCGGCCAGGCAGGCGAGGAAGAGCACAGACAGACTGCCAATGTACCTGCTGGCACATTCTGCCATTGTCCACTGTTGTCCAGCTGCTGAGGAAACTCATGGGGCAGCCAGGGGACGGCAGGGGACTTGCTAGCTCTCCCTTGAGGCTGAAGAGGGCTGGAGAAGTCCTTGTTCCCTAGAGGCTCCTATATCTACAAGGGCTGGATGGATGTCCTGGGTGAGTGCACAACACGTCTAGAAGTTCCAGATGGGGGGGAACTTGTAGACCCACTGCCAAAGAGTTGGGGCTCTGCATCATGGTGCACCCCACTGAGATGATCATCTTCTACTAGGACACAGCAGGGACCACAGGGAACTAAGGGCATACCGCACAATGAAGGGGTGGACACACGGGACCCCTGGGTACACCGCATGCTTAGGGGATGGCCATGGGAGGCTAAGTGCTTGTGGCACACAGAGAGGGGGAGCCACTGGGGACTGTGGGCCTCCTGTACACTGGGGTTCAGCTGCAGGGAACTGCTCTCCGCAGTCAGCCCACACATGGCCAGAAATCACTCCTCTAGTGACGGGTGAGTCAGAGGGAGGGTGAGCCAGCTGTGAGGGCCATAGGCGCTGAGGCAGGACAAAAGCTCGCTTCCCTAACAAAGCTAACCGGAGAGTACAGTGCAGGGCTGGCCTTGTGTTTATGACTGTGGGGGACGGGCCTGCTCTGTCCTGTCTCCAGGATACCCTCTGTGTTTAGGCTTCTCTGAAGTCCCACCATGGCTGCTGGAGCTCTAGCCTCCATGTCCACATCCCATCAGCCCGTGGCAGGAAGGCCACCATCCCATCTGACTCTAGTCTGACTGCCCCAGACCCCTCCCTGCTTGGGTACCGGCTTCACACTGAGTCACAGTAACCATGGCTTGCATCCTGAAATGTACCCGGACGCTCTCCCAGCATGGCCAGAAGAGAGGAAGGATGTCGTGTGCACCAGCCCCCAGCCCGTGTGGAAGGAACCTGGCCAATGTCCATCCACAGCACACAGCAAGAGAAGCGGGTGACCATTCCCTGAGAATGAACACAAGGAAGCCCGGAGAGCTGCAAAAGCGGGCGGGGAACACAGAGTGGAAGGCTTCATGCAGCGTAGCTGAGTTCACAGCTGCAAACCCAAAGGAAGCGGAAGAGGCTGTGGGGCCAATTACAGAGCAGCTGAGCTGGAGGCAGGAGGCGCCAGGATCCTGGTTCCCTGGGCAGACTCCATTAGGCCCATCCTTCCTTCCCGATTAAATCTCCTCTAAGTGCACCTTCCTAAGGGAGAGAGACTGCTGACGGCTTGCAGTTTACAAGGGCCACAGGTGGCACCCCCAGATCCCTGCCTCAGCTCCAAGCCAGAGATGGTGTGTGGTGCAGTCCTTCTGGCCATAGTACTATCCTGGGGCCTCTGCAGTGACCCGCCAGGGGCCCCATTCTCTCCCAGCAGTAGCCCCAAAGGGACTCCATGGTGCATCCAAGAGAGGGTTCTATGATGCATCCAAGAGCAGCTGTGCCCCAGTCAGGGACTTGGGTCTCCCTCAGCCATCCTCACCGACCAGCTCTAGCTAGAAACTTCTCTGTACCATCTGTGGGCTCTGGAATTGACAACGCAGGGTCCCTGGGAAATAAGGACATCCACTTGTAGCTCTGGGGCTGAGGGGCTGCCATACCAGTCCCTAGAAAGGGTGAAATGACAGAGATGGAGCCCAGAGTAGTGGCACACACCTTAATCCAAGCACTCAGCAGCCCAGTCTCTGAGTTCGAGGCCAGCCTAGTCTACAGAGCGAGTTCCAGCATAGCCAGGACTACATGGTGAAACCCTGGCTTAAAAACCAAATAATGAATAAAGTTTCTATGGTTAATATCTTAAGCGGCATCGTGGAAAAGGAACAGAGCACGCAAGACAGATGGGAGAGGTCGACAGGCAGACATAAAAGTGACCATCCCTCTACTTAAAGCCATTCCACAGCATCATGGGAGGCCTCTGGTGGCCACAGAGACTCCAGACAGCCAGGGAAAGGAGTGGGTAGTTTGGAAACAGACTAAGAAACTCCCCAAACAGAAACAGAGATGAGAAGGTGTTTTAAAAGCACCGGGAGTGGGGACTGGGGGGGGGGCAGTTATGAAAGAGGAAGCCATGGGAACCTGGGAAGAGACTGCAGTGTGTGTGTGTGTGTGTGTGTGTGTGTGTGTGTGTGTGTGTGTGTAAAAATAGTGACTAGGCCAGTGAGTGACTCGGTTGGTAAAGGTACTGGATGCCAGGCCTGACAACCTGAGTTGATCTCCAGAACCTGCATGGTGGAAAGAGAAAATCAGCACCAGCAAATTGTCCTCTGATTTCACAATGAGCTCCAGCATAGGCTGGCTCTGTGTCTCTGTCTCTCTCAATGTAATTTCAAAAAGAAAGAGAAGAGCTAGAGAGATGGCTCAGCATTTAAGAGCACTTTCTGCTCTTGCAGAGGTCTGGGGTTGCATCTCCAGCACCCACATGGTAGCCCACAACCATCTGTAACTCTAGCTCCAGGAGACTGATGCCCTCTTCTGGCCTCCTTAGGTACTGCACACATACGGTGCACAGACATACGTGCAGGCAAAAGACACATATACATACAGATTTTTTCAATAATGTTTTAAATTAAAATGAATAAGATAAATGGTAATGACTGAGAACGTCCCGACACACCAACCACAGATACAGGGAGGTCTCATGGAGCAACACACACACACACACACACACGCACGCACGCACGCACGCACGCACGCACACGCACACGCATGTGCCCACACGCTTAGAAAGTCAACCAAGATGTGTCATTAAAATGGTGCAAATATCAAGTAAACTTCTGCTTAGGTCAAAAGGTGGGGGAGGGAGTGGGGAAATGGGGAGGGGGAGCCCAGCTTACCCACAAAACAGCAAGAATAGCATTGCAGAGGAACTTCCTACCAACTCTGCTCAGGAAGATGGCGGAGAGTAATATTGGAGCAATTGAAAGAAACACACACACACACACACACACACACACACACACACACACACACACCAGTGTTGAATTACATAATTCTAGCTAAATCATCCTGTGGAGAAAGTCAGCTCTATCTCAGACAAGCGGACAGGGGAGCTGGTACTCAGCACGCCTCTTCCTTGCAGGAAATGGTGAGTTTCTTCAGAAAGCGCAAAGTGATTAGATAGGATATAAACCCTAATTAACACGAAGAACAGAGTCCCAGGAGTGGGATATCCAAGAAGAAATAAGGGAGGGTGGGATAAAGCACTGTTTCCATTCCTAATTGATTTAAGAACTAGCCGGTCCACTACAGGAACATGGCAGCAGTCTTACCTTATTACGTTTTGTCTTTTGCAGCTTCTGCTACCTGTGGTCTACCAGAGTCTAAAAATACGAAACAACAACAAAAAAAAAATCCCAGAATTGATTTTTAAAAACTGCATGCCCTTCTGAGGGGTGCCATAAAAATCTCACGCGGTCCTGTTCTAGCCACCTGAAATGTGGATCTTCCCTCTGTCTGATGTGCCCATATATGCCTCCTGCCTGTCAGCTGGAAGCATCCACACCCTCTAGGCTTCTGGCCCATCCACCATGCACAGCATCCATATCCTGTAGGCTTCCTGCCCATCTGTCTATCACACGCCCCACTACATGCATGATAGAGCCAATCGTGTTCAGCATCCACACTGCATATGTCTCCTGCTTGTTCACGCCCATGCCATATATGCTTCCCCCCTGCTGTCAGTCACTCAGCAGGCTTGGTCATGAGATCAACAGTGATTGGTTATCAAGGAGGCTAAGGCTATGCTACGATGCCCAGGTCATCACCGTGCTTCGTCTGGTCTCACGGGCATTGCATCACCCCACACCCTCCTAGGAAGAAAACACAAATGTCGCGCATTAAGAGAGAGATCAGAGTCCCGCCTCTCCTGACATTGCTGTAGTCAGATCATTGCTATTGCTGTTCATCTCTTACTGTGACTGTGAGTGACAACCCACTGACCAATGAGTGACTACAATTTAGCAGGTTGGACCTACCGTAGGCAAGTCTGGTAAAACCAAACATCCGGTGGACTGCACATCAACCAAACTCTCAAGCCTTAGCCTGAACCTCACTCTGCCACCGAGAGCTAATTTTAGCGGAATAAAGAAGGTGTGTGCTGCAGCCAGTGAGGGAAATACATTTGGAAGGATTGTCTATTGAAGCAAACAGCCTAGGAGGACCCAAGCCAGATGTTTCCTTCTGTTGTCCCCTTCCTTCCCAAGCCTGCTGTTTGCCCTGGGATGCTCACACCCCCGCCCCGGGATACAGACCCCTGGGATGGAACATACTGAGTGTACAATAGGCACTGAGACTTGGGTGACAACATCCTGTTCGGGTGCCGCTAACCACAGATTGTGAAGCCCAACACTGTAGTAAAGGACATTGAGAGTTTATTTTATCAAAACCACAACATGTCTTCACTATAGCAGCAACTCATCATCTCCCCTCTGCTGTAAACTACTCACACACACACCATGCTTTCTAATTTATGTGGGGCCAAATTACACACAGATAATAAATGATTGCAGAAGCCAAAGTAGGTAGCCTATAAATAAACCACACGCTTTCACTCACTGGAAACGGGAAGCCGAGACAGGATTTGCTCTTGGCTTCTCTTGATATATCAGCTACATATGGGCGAGTATTACAAAGAGCCAGGAACTGAGAATCCCACTGGGAATAAAGACAATCCTGGCCTGCCTTGCCTCAGTGGGAGCCCAGTATGCATGGGGGGGATACAGTGTTCTCACTACTGGGAGCTCAGCAGGGCAGGTCGGACCCTGGGTCACTGGTTTTGGCCTTGGGGAGTAGTGAGATGCTGAGCAGTGACCACACACATTCTGTAGACAGGACTCGTCACCAAACACAGAGTCTCGGCATGACCTCAGCCGCACTGGCCAAAGGGGCTGCAGGAGGGTAGGTCGCAGGGGCCCGGTTGGCTCATAGATTTAAGTCCTGGCTTGGACAGAACCAAGTCTGGTCCTATAGCCTTCTGGCTTCTGGAAGAGATGCCTACGTGGGGGCTGTCCCTTTGGGGCTGGGGTGTGGCTCAGTGTGGAGTGCGTGCCTAGCTATGCCAGGCCCTTGCACCGTTTCATTACGAATGGAGAACAAGAAAAGAAATCAATCAAAGCCCCAAAGATCCATAGAACTGAGTGGAAACATGCTCTAAAGCCAAGCAAGTGGGGTGGGGTGGGGTAGGGGCTCAGGGATGTCATGGGAAATGGGTTTTTTCCAGTATCAGGGTCAGACTGGCCATCCGAGCTGTGCCTGTCATAGACGCTTAGGTTCCTGTCACACTAGTTGACCCTTCACAGCCTGTTCCATAATTCTCCGTGATCCCCACCCACCCGAGGATCTTGTTGACATGCAATTGTCACAATGAACTGACTGCGCTTCCCCGGGCTGGGTCTGATTCTGTCCACTCACGCCAACCCCAAAGGCCTCCAGTGGCCACCCTGCCCAGGAATGGGGACTTGGTGTGGTCACTGATGGAAAGAAATCAGTCTCTGCCGTGTGGTGGTTGGTCTGGTGTATGGCATGAGGGACATCCAATGTCTAAGCGATCTGGTGCCTCGTTGGCTCTTACACAGAGGTGGCATATCTAAGTAACAAGAAAGCAGACCATAGGGGTAGCTACGCCCCGCCCCGCCCCGCCCCTCCCAGAAAACCAGGAGATGCAGATGCAGGCGGTTCCCCGGCAGAGGATCTCAGTCCTGGAGGAGGCAGTGGACAGAGAGAGGTTCATGTTTGAAACCTAAGGCTGACTTTAGGTCCAGCGAGGCACAGCTTGCAAGGAATAGGCTGAGTCAGTTCCTAGGCAGTGGCTCCATTAGACTGTCTTCACAAGGCTCCATCCACAGGATAGTGGGTGACTCCGGACAGGCAAAAGCAGAGACCCCAGAACTGGTGTACAGCTAGGGTGGGGGGTGGCCCAATTATGTCCCCTTACATGAAGATGTATATTCCAATTAGTGCTGGCCTCATCTCCCCTGCCCCCATTAATGCAGCTACGTCTGTTGACCCTCTGGAGACACACAGGACCTTAAGTACCCCTCAGGACTTCCAGTCTCCAGCAAGGCTGGAGGTTATGACCTCTTAGAGCTGCATCCTCCCGTCTCATTTATCACAGCCTTGCTGGTACTGTACTCTCTGCACATGATAACAAGGGAGGTTCTCACTTAGTGTCACCATGGGCTACATCGCACTCTGGTGTGCACAGAGGACAGAGGTGTGCCGACCACATCAGGGAAGAAGGGCCACGTCATCGCTGGCCACACCACCCTGAGTCAAATTGCAGTGATAGAGAGGATACTCTGCACAGTTATAGGTCGGGGCTGCGATCCCAGGCCGAGGCAGCAGGGAGAGGGACCCATGATGGAGGCAGGGTGCGCATTTTTTTTTTCTCTGCTTCGGGGAAGGCACTTGTTTTGAACGGCAGCCACCCTGATCACACAGCGGACAGGTCCACACGGTGGGCAGAAAGGCTGCTCTTGTCCCAAGGGCTTAACTTTGTGGATGCCACGCCTGGCCGGGTCCCGTTGACCTGCAAAGCACAAAGGGAGGTATGAAGACAATTTCAAGAGGTAGAATTTCAGTCCATAGGAATACAACAAGCTTTGGGCTCGGGGCCATGTGAGGATCTGGGACCGCACTTCTGAGACCCAAAGAGTCCAGACCAGAGCACCCCAGGCAGGTTCTAACCCCATGAAGGTCAGGTTCTTGGCTCATCACCAATCACCAGTCAGGTAAGCTCTCTTCACGGAACACGCCATGCACCAGGAACTTGGAAAGGGGGGGCACTGTTAGACAAAACTAAGCTTCATCTTGGCCCTCATGAGTTTATTTCCAGGAAGGAGACAGACAACGGTCACTAGGAAAATGGCTGAGGTGGGAGATTGACCATGAGTCAGTGACACTTTTACCTAGTGGCATCCAGGAAGGAAACACTAGAGCAGTGGTTCTCAACCCGTGGGTCTCGACCCCTTTGGGGGTTGCCCATCGGATATCCCGCATATCCGATATTTGCATTATGATTCATCACAGTAGCAATATTACAGTTACAAAGCAGCCACAAAAATAACTTTATAGTGTGGGGGTATGTGTGGAGGGAGTCACCACAACATGAAGAGTTGCCTTAAAGGGCCGCAGCATTAGGAAGGTTGAGATGCACTGCCCTAGAACAAAGGGTTAGCAGATGACAGATAAGTGGACTGCATGGCAGGCTAGACCCTCCCAGGGGCCTGGAGAAGAGGGAGCAGTGGACGGAGCTCCGTATTTTAAACAATGGTTTGCAACCGCATGCATCCTCCCTGAAGCAGAGGGAGGCTATGTCCACCTGCGAAGCAGCCTTGCAGCCAGGTTGGTGTCCAGGATTGCTGGTCCAGGTAACAGCCACACTAACTAGAGCCCTGAGGATGGGGAGGGGAAGGAGGGAGGCATTTGGAAGAGGTCTAGTGAAGCCAGGGAAGGGACTCAGGAAGACGCGTCACATTGTACTCACGATATCGGAACTGAAGGGCTTAGTGTTCGTGGTACGGGCGGAGCTGCTCGTGAGGGACCAGACCTTGGTCTTGTGCTTGAAGGCCGCTCTCACCTTCAGAGGCAGAAGAAAGAGCCTGAGAGGGAGCTCCAGAAGCTGACCTAGCAAACTCTCAGGGGCCATCGCCAACAGCCTCTAAAGACTTGCTGTGGTGTCAGCCCCGAGCACCCAATGTAAGGGCGTGGCATCGGAGTTGGTACCAGTATCGACGTCAGAATCAGTGGTTCCTAAGCAGAACCTAACAGGGATTGTTATTACCCTAGACAACACTGCCCTTCTCTCTACGCCCTTATGGAAGTCAAAAGCTATTTGTAGCTGTCAGGGGGGGTGGGATGGACATACCTCTGAGTTTAGGAGACAGTGAAAGAGGAAGATGAAGAGGCCCTGGGAAGGAAGGGGAGAGACAACATCAGGGCCACATATTGACACAAGGTCCCTCCATCACTCGAGCCTGAGGGAGGCATGGGCATAGCTCACTGTGGTGGCGGGGGAAGGGGGTGCGGGGGTGCGGGGTGGGGGTGGGGCTTGCTGTGATCCGGAGCCTCAGGCCTGCAGCCCCAGGGAAGGGGGATTTCCAGATGGCTCAATTCAGGGAGGGGCAAAGACCCTGTTCACCACCCCCGACTTCCAAGCAGAGGACACCAGACTCTGCCTTAAGCGGGCCTTGGTGCTCACACCCGACAGGGATGATGGGAGCCGTCCGTCCGTGTTGCCGGCATGTCGGCCCCACAGGCTCTTCTTACCTGCAAGGAGTTGAGGACAGCAAACATGTATTGGAAGACCAGGGCCCGGTCACTGACGGCCAGCACTCCAAACACCCATGAGGTTCCCAGGATGGGTAAGAGCACAGCGACAGCCTTGGCCGTCAACCTGGAACGGAGTCGGTGACATTCACGTTAGCCATGGGCAGGCAGACCGGGCCAGGAGGACCTTAGGGGGCCAGATCTGCTGTGAGCAGAAACGGCTCGGCGGGCAATGAGACGGGGTTGTCTGTGGACGCTTGAGGGCACAGTGGGCAGTGCCTTCCACTGCAGAACTGCAGGGCACCAACCTGCCTTCCCAGGGTACCCTGATCTCTGAAGCTCCACAGAGCCCAGATAGGACCAGCATTTGGTGGTGCTTCTGCAGAGAGAGGTAGGGGTGAGGGCACCTCCTGGCTGGGCTCTGGGAGAGATGGTGGGTATAAGTGTGGGGGTGGTGGTGGTAGAAGTGCAAACGTTCTGGGCACAGCGGCAGCCTTGGTCCTGCAGGTGCCAGGCTAAGGTAGGAGCAAAAGCCTGGGCTGAGTATGAGAGCCGGGGGCAGAGTGGCCACCATGACCACTGAAGAGCCTTAGGGTTGGGGATGGAGTGTGGAAGAACAACCTCCCTCCTGATCAGGCCACAGTGGGCAGGGGACAGTCCCGGGTCCCCCACCCGTGAGATGGAAGAGGTAAGGAAATTCTCCCGACCCTCATGGACTTATTTCCTCATCTAAGCACAGCCTAGAAGGTTCTAGGGGCAGAAAAAACCCAAGAGAGCTGCCTCCACTTGTCAAGTTAATTTATGGGGTTTAGAATCATTATCTCATCGATTTGCTGTTGCCTGTTCATAGTTTTTTTGCTAGACGCACTGTTTTAAAAGTCGCTTACAGGATGCCAGCGGCCTGGCATCCCAGCTGTTTCTATGGGAGCTCCCAAATCACCTGCAACGAGGCCCTCAACCATGATCCTTAGGGTGCAGGGTGCTGTCAGGCCTCTATGGTCAAGGAGGACTATGAATCTTGGGTCCATGAATCCCATGAGTGAATCCCACCCCATTGGGCACAAGGCTTGGCCACTGTCACCATAATCCCACCACACCCCCTCGTACAAGAAGGAAGACACTCTCCCAAAGAGGACGCTGGCCACTGCTGTTCTGCCTCTAGGAGCAGAGAGTGGATTTGGGCATGAAGAGGAGAGACACAAAATGGGAACTGAGCTCAGGAGACTGTATCTCCATGTATGGGGTCTCTTACAGACTCAGGCCTTCCTGGTCACTGCATCTCCCTTGGCCACACCCAGTTGCTGTAGGTTTTTCTGACATTTGCCATTGGCAGGCCCCATGGATAAATACTAGGAACCCAGGAAACCTCAACTGGCATATCAGTCCCTTTTGGGGGGGTAACTTCCAAAAATCTCCCTTCTCCTTCAGTGGTAGCCCAGTGTGCATGGAGGACTGCTTTCTAGAACGTTCCCTCATGCAGCATCCCAAGAAGAGGGCTATGTATTTCCTTTCCACTGTGAAGGAAGTGAAGGGCAGAGGGACCCATTGCTGCAGGACCTAGAAGTCAGATTTTCATCTCTAGAGTCTCCGTTTCCCCTCCCTCCAGCCATCCCAGATTCTGGCTAGAGAAGTCCCAGGAGGGCATCTTCATGTGGTCCCCAAGGCTGCAGTGGGACCTCCTCTTGCATCACTAGGAGTAAACCATGGAATAAGGACCCAAACCAACCAAGGCTGACCATGTAGGGCTTGAAGGTGCAGAGCCACTCTGGAGGAGACTCAGGTGCTGGTCCTGGGAAGCAACGTTGTCCCTCCTGAAGCCTCTCATAGCCCCCCATGGGCAGTGCAGTGGGATGTGGACGGTTGGGGTCAACTTACTTGAAGGCGCTGGGGTCCCCGTGTATCTTGTAGCTGTCGGTGCTGATGTGGGAAATGACCCTCGTCACGGCTACCAGGATAACGATGTTGACCTGTGAGGGAGGAGAGGGAGGGAGGCAGTGAGCGGCCGGGTCCACCCACAGGCCACAGGAACATGCCCCCACAGTAGGCACTCCACAGGCAGCAGGGAACGTGGCTGTGATGAATTCAAGGCAGGTCCCTGGACTTTGAGCAGGACAGATGCTACATAAGCCTGCCCCACAAGCATCGTGGTGGAAAGAATGAGTGTGACCTTTGGGGTCAGACGAACCAGTCAAAGCTCATCTCGTGTTTGTTCACTCTGCCTGACCCTGGTGGACACCTCCGTGGGTCCTGGGAATCTCTGCTTCCCGCTGAGCCAAAGACTGGCTGGTGCAAACTAACCAGAGGAAGAGGAGATGCCTCATTTGCTCGGTCCATGGATGGCAGCTGGCTCTCATCACCCACACACCCGTATGACGTTCGGCAGCCATAGCGGTGGGGACGTGTTATCTGTGCCCAGCACTGCTCCTGCTCCAGAGTGGGGACATAGGGACATGCTGGGTGACTCCAACACTCTAGCCCAGCCCCTCTGCTAGCAGCTCTCCTGAATCCGAAATGTTAAGGGGCAAGGTAGGAATAACGGGGGGGGGTGACCCCCAGTCTCTTTCCGCTTGAGAGGCCCCCAGTTGGGTTGTGAGAGCGATGCTGTGGCCAGAGCCCATTCCTGTAAGTGTTAAAATCTTTGAGATCATCAGGAAGCCAGCTCCAGACTCACGGCCTTAGAACTGACAGAGGCATCGCTATCAGGCATCCCAGGGAGGCTGCTGGTCTGTTCAGCCTTGTGCACAGCCAGACCTGGCAATACTGAAGAGGCCTGCAGTCAAGACCTCTGACAACACAGCCTTGCGGCCACATGCATGCATACATGCATCAGTGAGCCTAGGTGGCTGTGTCCCAGGCCATTCTGAGACTGCTCTGCAGAGAACGCCTGATTTGAGGGGGACTTGAGATGCTTTCTCCGCTCTCATTCCAGCTGGTATTTTTCCACTCCAGCCCTCTCCCTCTGCCTCCTCCCGGCTCCCATCAGTCATCCAGAGCCTTTTGTTAAAGGTTTTCGGCTGAGACAATTCTGGGTCTGTGCTATGCCAGGGAAAACGAGGCACTATGGGTACCTCGCCTATCCTGTCTAGACTCTTGCTTACGCTGCCGCCGTCAGACATGAACAAAAGCTTAAGCGTCACTCTCCCTTGGTGCCTTGTTGCCCTGGGTAACAACAGAGCCTCCCAAGGTCGGGGAAGATGAGAGAGGTTAATGCATAACCAGCTAGCACAGTGTCACGCAGTGTCCTGTAATTCAGCTGCCCTCCAGCCTTCCTACAACTGATGACAGGGGCCAGAGAACCGCATTTGACAGGAACAAGAAGAGACAGTGGGTGTGTCGGGCCGCTGACTTTTAGACCAGGTTATACTCCAACTTGGACAGTGACAGGAGTCAGAGCAAGCTATGCGTGGTGACTGATTCAAGGGACAGGGGTGTCACCTCGGACCACCAGGGCCATTGACACCCGAGAGCATCCTGTTGTCTTTGGTCATGGTGCCCCGGGCTGTGTGCCCCAGATCCTACAGAGCACCCACTGGGTCACCAAGGGAGAGCGCAGAGGGCACAGCCCCAGCTGTTCACAAAATCACAGACCCTTCCAGGCCTCCTGTGATTCGGTAGATTTTCTCGGGGAAAAACAAATAATAAATGCTTTTTTTTGTTTGTATGCCTTTGGTTCATTTCCAGAGTGCTGGCTTTCTAACAATGCAATTCTTTTTGCCGTCCCCCTGATTAGGAGGGTAGAGTTATTCCGTCTCCCACTGGCATGCTGCCAGCCTGCCCCTTTCACTATGGGAATATATAGCTTGGGTATCTCATACACCTGTAAAGGCTGGTGATTGGAAGCAAATTGGTTATGCACCACTGGACTACAGATGTGGACCGCGGGGCTCTAGAGGTCATACCTATGACACAGCCATGGTCCTTTTTTCCTGCCTAAACCCCCAAGGCCCTGGTCCCCTGGAGAAGATACTACTGGAGTAAAGATACAGATGGAGGTGCCCAGTCTACAGAAAACCCATGGTGATGGAGAAGCTAGTACCAAGCCTGCTCCCTTGGGGAGAGTTGATACTGGGGGATGGAAGAGTAGATGTGGGCAGAGATTGTTCATATATTCAGATTTTTTCATATATTCCTAAGGTTGCCTCTTAACCATGTCTGTTACAAATTTAAAAATCAAATCGCCTAACTACTTTTTAATCTGGAGCAATTATAAATTAAAAGGAAAATTACTTGAAACTCATCATTGGTGAATATGTCAACAGCGTCCTTGGGGGTCACAAAGATATTTAACCGGGGCTAGGTTCTAGCGACTTAGGAATGTGATGGGCTTGGGGAAGAGCCGGTGGGATGCTGCCTGTGGGAGAGATTCCAATACCTTGTGCTGGGTCAGAGGTCACACTACCCAGCTTCTCACGTGAGCTGAGAGGCTACATCATGATGAGCAGGCCACATGAGCTCACGGTCACGGCACCTTCTCCAGATGCTATAAAAGGTGATTCCATCTCAGATCTCAAAGCAAAGGCCAGAGATGTAGCCCCAGGTCCCCAGGCTTCCTAAACCAGGCTACCAACAGTGCAGTTGACTCACGAGAGAGTGTTTCGCAAATGTGAAAATGTGACAGGTGAGAACTTCAGGATTTTTGGACTGATCTACACAGTGTCTCAGCACCAGCAAAGCTGCTCAGATTGCTCTGTGCCCACCCATCACCGTTTCTCTTTTTATATTCTTTTTTCTGGGTTTTATTTCTGCCCTAGGTGTGTCTGGTTTCATTTGGAAGCCTTAGACCTGGTCCACCACCTCTGTAGTGACTTATCTACATGTCTGTGGTTTTGCATCTGTTTCTATGCCTGGGCCATCCTGTCGGCAGCGGCACCGGGAGAGGGTGATCCTGCATCCGTGTAGTGATTCAAGTCAGTGGCTTACAAACAACATAATCTCGAATTTTACAGAAATACAAAGCAGAGTGGGTCTGACCTCTTGGCTCCATGGTGCTCACTCTGGCCCGTATTCTAGCAGGACTAGGAAGGCCTGATTAGGTTGAGATGCTGTATGACATGAACGGCAGTGGTTTGCAGCAATTTGTGTGACCTGTCAGGTTGGGGACAAACTTCAAAGAAACGATTCCAAGCTGCATTTCAGAAGAGTAGAACTGCATACCAGGATGTCAAACATAAAGCCGAGCACAGGCCAAGATGAGCCAGGAAAAGATGATGGTGGCCTCTGGGGGATGAAGGAGGAATGGTAGGTGAGGCCTATGGGATTGGGTCTGGCTCTTCAGCTCTGTCAACTCAGGATCATCTAGGAGCTTTTTTTAAAAATGGGGGGGGGGGCGTGCAGCAGTGTTTTACAGGGAGAAGCTATCCACATCTGTACACACATACACAATATATAGTGTCCCAGTGGTACGTCAAGTCCCAGAATCCCCGCGTCTTGTGTCTGCCTGGGAACTCTGTGTACAGCTTTGCATGTGGCTCTGGACTTATATGCCTATAGCTCTTTGTAACAGTGGATCTATGTGCCTATAGCCCAGTTATAATGTGTCTATGTCTGTAATTCTGTGTAGACATGTAGATATACATGCCCATAGTTCTATATATCTGTGGATCTATGTGCCTGTAATTCTGTCTGTAGCTATGAATCTATGGGCCTGTAGCTCTATGTCTGTCGGTATCTGTGGACTTACACCTGTAGCTTTGTGCATCTATATATGTATGGGCCTGTAGCTCTGTGGATCTGAAGAACTATGAGCCTATAGCTTTGTGGCTCTGTGGATCTAAAGGCCTATAGCTTTGTGGTTCTGTGGACCTATGAGCCGATAGCCTTGTGGCTTTGCAAATCTATGTGCCTATAGCCTTGTGGCTCTGTGGATCTATGGGCCTGTAGCCTTGTGGCTCTGTGGATCTATGGGCCTATAGCCTTATGGCTTTGCAGATCTATGAGCCTATAGCCTTGTGCCTCTGTGGCTCTATGAGCCTGTAACTCTGTGGATCTGTGGATCTATGGGCCTATAGCCTGGTGGCTCTGTGGATCTATGAACCTATAGCCTTGTGGCTCTGTGGACCTATGAACCTATAGCCTTGTGGCTCTGTGGATCTATGAGCCTATAGCCTTGTGGCTCTGTGGATCTATGGACCTGTAGACTTGTGGCTCTGTGGATCTATGAGCCTATAGCCTTGTGGCTCTGTGGATCTATGGACCTATAGCCTTGTGGCTCTGTGAATCTATGAGCCTATAGCCTTGTAGCTCTGTGGATCTATGGACCCATAGCCTTGTAGATCTATGGATCTATGGTCCTATAGCTCTGCATCTGCAGCTGCCTATTATTCATTCATGTGTCTATACTTGGCTTCTCGAGGAAGACAAGGATTTTGAGTACTAGGATCTTTTCTCTTTCTCATACCTAGAGGCACTGTTCTCCTGTCCTTTTTGGGACAGGCACAGACCAAGTGAGCCACTGTGGGACACAGGCTACAGTACCCATTCTCTTCCTGAAGTCCTCTTCTCGGTGGGGGTGGGGGTGGCAGTGTGCATGCTCTTTGGACTGATCTGCATTCCCTGTGACCAAGCTTCCCCCCACATAACCACAAAATACCACCGCATTTTGAAGTGGGGCATTCAGAGAGGGGATGTATTAAACTGAGGTCATTTGTATGGTTGTAATCAAACAGAATTATGGCCTCCCACAGGCAAATGGCCAAGGAGAGAGGGAACCAGGGAAACTGACCCACTGAGCCTTTGATTTCAGATATCTGGCTTCAGTGGCAATAAGGGAATTATTCCCTTCATTCAAACCCCTGGTCTATGGCACTTTCTTGCAAGACCTTGAGCAGATGAAGCCCTGGGGAACTGCTGGTCCACTGGACAGGTCTACATTTAGCATCATCAAGTTGGATGGTGGGTCCTGATGCTGAGGGGCTCATTTCTGCTTTTCTCTTTAGATCAAGGTTTAGGTGACTAGCTACTGTCCACAACCTCCTGCACCCACAGCCTAACCATCACTAGTACAAGTAAAGCTACACACGTTCCGACACACACACATCCTACTTTCTAAAATGGCTTTACTTGAAAAGTTTGCAGGCCAGCCTCGCAGTGGGGGTGTACCCTTTTAATCCCAGCACTCAGGAGGCAGAGGCAGGCAGATCTCTGAGTTCGAGGCCAGCCTGGGCTACAGAGTGAGTCTCAGGACAGCCAGGGATACACAGAGAAACCCTGTCTCGAAAAACTGGGCTTCAGAGAGGTTTCTGCAGTTAAGAGAATGTACTGCTCTTGCAAAGGACCTGAGGTTGGTTCCCAGAATCTACATTGGGTACCTCATAACTGACTGTAACTCCAGCTCCAGGGAATCCAATGCTTCTAGCCTCCTTGGGGACCCGCACTTGCACTCATGTGTATAAACCCACACAAAGATATACACATATACAACATTAAAAATAATAAAAATAAATCTTTAAAACTGTGCTAGCCTTGTGGGGGTGTTTTTAGATGCATATAAAGTCTAGGCATGGGGCAGTAATCCCACACTGCTCCCCAGGGAGCCACCATTCAGGAGTATCCGCCCCACATTTTCCCATCCATTTCCCACTTGCTTGAGAATAAGTGCCCACGGAGAGCTTTTACACAAATGGGGTCAGGCCACGCTTGACATCCAAAACTTGCTTCCTCCATTTGGAAGTAAGGCGGAGAACTACTGGGTGAATGAGGGCATAGCTCAGGAGGACACAAAATGCCATCCCACCCCTACTCCAGCACCCAGCCTGAGGCCTGGCAGTCAGCAGGACCAGCCACAGCATGCCTCACACCGGGGATTGGCCACCTTTTTCTGCCACGGGCTGGGTAGTGTGATTACCTTCGGCTCTGAAGGCTGCAGCGTCTGCTGCAGAATGTCTCCGCACCGCAATCTGAACAGCTGCAGACACATTGTAAATCAGCAGGTGTGGCTGTGGCCCAAAACCTGACCTCGAAAGTAGGCGTCACCACAGAGCCCTTAGAGCAGTGGTTCTCAACCTCCCTAATGTGTGACCCTTTAATACAGTTCCTCATGTTGTGGTGACCCCCTAACCACAACAAATCATTTCCGTGGCTACTTCATAACTGTAATTTTGTTGCTGTTATGAATCATAACGTAAATATCTGTGCTTTTCTGACAGTCTCAGGCGACCCCTGTGAAAGGGTCCTCCAGTTCCCCCAAAGGGATCGCGACCCACAGGTTGAGAGCCACTGCCTGAGAGGCTGCCTGCACCTCCTTCTCAGCTTCGACCACACCCCACTCTACAGGAAGGCACCAGATGACCCCCACATTAGCTAGAGCAGCCGGAGGGAGTTTACAGGGCTGCTCTCTCCAAAGCCTCCGCAGATGACGTCAACAGGGGAAGCTTTAAGCATCACATGGTGTGGCTGAGGACTTGTGTCCCTGGGGTTGAGAATGACTGACACTCTGGGAAATGAGCAGGGTGCTTTAGGCAGCGGAACCCCTGGGAATGACACCCAGCGCTCCATGAGCCTGGGACAAGGGTGCTGGGTTTCTGACGCTAGGGTGAGAAGGATCTGGGCCCCGTGGCCTCAGACCCTGGCTGCCTCTGGCTAGAGACACAAAAAAAAAAACATCTGTACCCAGAGGTTCTTCCTGGCCTAGAAGATCCGGAGGGTCTGTGTGTTGAAGAAAGAAAAGAAGACGAACCTCGAACATAAGTCCTCTCTTTCTTTGTCCTGGTGCCCCGCTGCCTTCAAGCCAATGGTGTCCCCTGAACCAAGGGGGACTGTGGAGGAGTGGGGACCTCTACCAAGAATGCATTCACATTTTTGGCTGGCATGATGGAGGGTCCTGCTAAACCCCAGACAGTAGGGAGACTTGGCACCAACCTCTTGCCCAAGCCTCTGTAAGCCCCCCCCCCAAAAAAAAAACAACTAACAATGGCAGCTGACCCTCCTATAGGCCTGGGCACAGCACAGCTCTAGCATGGGAAGGTCCACAGCACTGTGATATGTTGTGGTCTCTACACGGAGAGCTGCTAATGGGAAGAAAACCATATGAAGGCCAGAGCTCTTTTCGGACATGCCTGGAGGGGGTTGGGCTCCACCTCATCCCTAGTCTAGACTTCTCAGTCCTCCTTGAAGGTGATTCCCACACTAAACGGGACCCCCTCTAGACCCTGTGAGCCTCCCTGCTGGGTCATGGCTTCCAGCTCCCCTTTGAGGCTTCTTTTCCCAAGAAGCTATGCAAGTTTGCCTGGGATAGCCCCCAAGCCCTGGGAGCTACCTCGGGGGACTGACCTGTAAACGTGGATCCTGCACCAAGCCTCAGCCAGGACCCAGCCTGGCTGGTAACCTCAAAGCTAGCATGATTTACCCCCTCCACCCCCACCCCACCCTCCAAGGACAGAGAAAATTACTTCCAGGATCCTAGGGCCTTTGGACCCTGCAGAGCAGAATTTCCAGTGGGAAAAGGTTCGGCAAGAATGGAATACAGCAGGAACTACGATGGCCATGTGTTTAGCAGGAGCCACATGCATAGTGACAGTGCCTGGCCTCCCCGCCCCAAAGGGCACTGTGATGACAGTTCACTCTCTGCCCTCTGTAGACCCTCAGCCAAGAAAGGCGCCATTGTGCCCATTAGCACGAGAGGGCATCAAAGGGATTTCTATGAAGAAGCATCAGCCCAGCCAGCCATTCAGCAACTCCCCCAGTTTCCTTTATAATTAACGACCAGAGTCCTGCCTCAAACAGTGCTACCGAATGGGGATGGTCACGCAGATTCATAGTCAGGAAAAGGAGAGGAGAGGGATGGGGTTATGGCCTTCTTGAAGTGTGTGTGTGTGTGTGTAGGTGGGTGGGGGGGCTCAGATGTGGTCCAAGACTTCCCAGAGGTCACCTCATTCTTTATCTGGTGAGATGTGAAGTCAGACATCACCTAAGATGTGAGGACAGTGTTGTCGACCCCCCCCCCCGCTGCCCGCTCTCAGGGTGGGGCTGGGACACCCCATCTTGGGGGTAGCAAACCAGCTTACTGAAGGCCAATGTATGTCTACAAAGGGTATCCTTTGGCACTGGTCAGCAATGGCCCACCGGAGCCTATGAAGACGACAACCCCCTACAAAGGTAGCAGGGTGGTGGGCAGGATCTCCAGGACCCCAGTTATGACTCAGTCTAGGCAGGAAGCCCTTCCCAGAGTGGGCTGGTGGTGGTGTCCTGACCCCTATGACTACACCAAGTTTGTTCCGTGAACCCCCACACCTCCACAGACATGAGCCTCGGCACACAGGCACTGGGGTCAGCAGGAGGATGTAGCCATGGTTACGAGAATGCTGTATGGGTCTGGCTGCCCTGCTCGCTCACCCTGGGGCAACTGCCACAGAGAATAGCCACAGGGAAGAGAAAGAGCTCCCCAGCCTCGGGCGGGTGTCATGTGACTGATAGCTGTCTGTAGGCCCCAGACTGTCCCCCACGCTGTCACGTGTCTTCATCTCATGACATGAATCTTCACTTATATGTAGGGTTCCCACAAGACCCTCTAGCATCCCAGCCTTGGGGTGCTGGGGCTCTCTGAGAATTCTGTGCATGCCTCTGGGCCTGAGCTCAGCAGAGGTACACTGAGGACTTGTTGGAGTTGCTCCAAACTCAGGGTCTTCATGAGGCTATGGTAAGCCAAGGCTCAGAGTCACTCACCCCGCCTCCCCCCCCCCGGGGGGTGGGGGTGGAGAGAACAGGAAGTATAAAAGATAAATGGCAGCATGATGCTATATCTTGGGGTGTATCTTCAGGGAGCCTGGCACAGTCCACGTGACCCTGCCCCTGGCCTGCCTGGCTCTGCCCATGAAGTGGGGGAAGACTTACCACAATGACCAGCAGGGCAGGGCCCACAAAGGCCCAAATGGCACCACTTCCCAGGGACAGCCAGCAGCTGTGGAGAGGGAAGAGTTACTTCAGCAACCTTGTCCACCCTCCGCAGAGGCGCCTCCACCCCAGTGGCCCTCAGCCACGACAACGGCAGGGCCGCAGCCCGGTGAGAGACTTCATCGGCTCTCGGTGCCGCTATGACACCCACTCTGCAACCCAGTCACTTCTGTGGTCATCTCATGGGTCTTTGTCTCTTAGAGGATGTCTCGGGATCGATGCCTGGGTCAGCCATCTCGGCGGGGTTCAGCCAAAACACAGAGTCGATTTCTGTTTCATTACCACAGTAAACAAAAAGGCCTCACCGGGGACTGGCTCCGGGTCTTTGCAGAGCGAATCAAATATTAGCCAGGAAGGGACCTCCAGTGGGGTTCAGGGAACTGGCTGGCCACCTTCCCATCTGCCCTGAGCCTGCTGGTCACTACACCCCCATGGAACCCTAGCACAAAAAAAGGTTCCAGTGCGTCCCAGCAATCGCTCGCTCTAACGTGCTGGGGTATAGTGACTAGGAATGTGGTAGTCTACCTGCTGTTCTTAGAGACACGGCCCCTAACTCAAGTGAGATGGCCAGCTTCCCCACGGGGCTCCATGACCTCCCAGTGCAGGGGTGGAGTCCAGGAATGTCATCTTTTCAATCCTGGACACTCTAATGTGCCTTCCTCCTGACACAATTAAGACCCACAGAGACCCCAGGAAAGAAGGCAGCCCAGGCTTCCCAGCCAGGCAAGGGCTACAAGACCCATCAGCCTGTGCATTCCAGACTGTGTTCATTTGCATACTCTCATATTTCTTTCAGCCAGATGCTGTATATTATAATACCCAAGAAAGGCCCAAAGGTCATAAACCTGGGCTTCACGGGTGACCAGAGCCATGCATCTGGGAGAAGCACAGGGATTTAAAAAATTCCCATCAGAAGGATTAGTGGCTAAAAGCACTTCCTGCCAGGACTCTGGACGATCTGAGTTAGAACTCCTGGACCCATGTGGTAGAAGGAGGTGACTGACCCCTGAAGGATGCCCTCTGACCTCCAACTGGGTGCCACGACATCTGTGTACATGTACATATGCACACAAGCACATTTACACACACACACACACACACACTGAATAAATAGATGCAAAAGGAAAAAGAAACCTGGAACATTATAATACCCACATTGTGGTTCTTTTTTTGTTTGTTTGATACAGGGTTTTTCTGTGTAGTCCTGGCTGTCCTAGAACTTGCTTTGTAGACCAGGCTGGCCTCAAACTCACAGAGATCCGCCTGCCTCTGCCTCCCGAGTGCTGGGATTAAAGGAGTGTGCGGCCACCGCCACCTGACTCCCATCATTGGTTCTAAGAGCATAACGGGACTGCTACAGCTCTCTCTGCATGGGCCTGAGGGAGCCGGCCGATGCCCACTCTGCACCCAGGTGAATGTGGACATCTGAGACTGTGGGCACCTTCCAGTGCTCTTTTCTACAGGAGGCCTGCCAATCATAAGGCATTTTCAGAGGATACGGAGTCACTTACCTGTCACTTGTCCCATAACTGTCCATGGAGAATGACATGGAGATGACGCAGATGAGGAGAGGGCACCCTGCGGAGAGATGGAGATGTCACACGGCATGTTCCCATCTGCTTCTGTCCACAGATGTGTGTGTTCACTCATGGCTGGCATATGCCCTGGGGACTGTGGCTGAGCACTGGGCACAGAGCACTGTTAGATACAAGGAACTTGTAGGCTAAGCCAGAGGTCACACATGGTCACACTTACACAGCACCTTATTTTGGTTCTACCTAGGAGCCTAGGGGTCTGTGCAAGGCTTTGGGGCAGGGTGGCCCATAGTGACAAGAAGGGATGCTAGGCGTCCTCTGTTTGGGCCGTGAGTCCTAGCTAGGTCAAGTTGACCCACAAGGAGCATGTAGGAGTGGTTGAGGGCGTTTTGTGTATGTTAACAGGGATGTGTGTCTTGGACATTCAGTAGGCAGAGGCCCAGTCCTCTACTGAACACCCCACATGCCACAGGTTGGCTCCCTGTGCTGGTTTGAATAGGAACGGCCCCCGCAGACTCATGTGTTTGAATGCTTGGCCCGCAGGGAGTGGCACTATTAGGAGGTGTGGCCTTGTTGGAGTAGGCGGGGTCTTGTCGGAGGAAGTGTGTCACTGTGGTCTTAATACACCAGCTTTGAGGTCTTAATATGCTCAAGCCAGGCCTAGTGGGGGTAATCTCCCGCTGCCTGTGGATCAAGATGCAGAGCTCTTGGCTCCTTCTCCAGCACTGCGTCTGCCTGCACGCTGCCATGTCCCACCATGATCATAATGACTACACTTCTGAAACTGTAAGCCAGCCCCCAATGAAATGTTTTCCTTTGTAAGAAGTGCCGTGGTCATTGTCCCTACTCACGGCAATAAAAGTCTAAGATACTCCCTAAGGGAACATGAGTTGAGAAACCACTCCAAAGCTATAGGGGAAGCGGACCAGCTGGACTAGACTATCAAATATACGGTCCCCATACTGCCAGTGTTTGAGCCCATAACTCTCTAGCCAGCCATTCTCCTCCACATGTATGGGGCCCAGAGGCTGACTCCTTCTTGGCTTTCAGGCTTGTGACCCATGACTGGCTCCGTGGGCCACCAATCTCCGTGGCCACAGCAATGGATTGAAAGATGGGCATGTGACCTGGATGAACCAATCAGACTCCAGCAGGGACTCAAAGGCGAGACTGCCTTTGATACTGGGAAGAGAGAACTCTCTCCTCATGGGGTTGCAGAGAGGGCAAGGACATTGGTGGGACAGGTGGGGCTTGTGCAGCCACCTTGGCACCATGGGGAGTTAAGGAAAGCTCAGGGCACTGCCAGTGAGGATATCAAGAAAGGCAAATTTGTGTTGTGGAAGCCCACGGTTCAAGACTCGAATTTGTCACCAAAGATTTATAGGAACCACGGCTATATGAACCATTAAATTCCCTTTGTGCCTAAGCCACTTTGAGCTGGATTTGTTTTTACAAAACCCCGTCAGGCTTCTGGAGAGGTGGTGGAAGTGAGGTCGAAGAACAAACTAGAAAAACATCTAGACCAACAATTCCCACGGCATTCTGTCTTCCTGCCAAGAAAGAACTCCGGGTCAAACTGCTCTTAAAGCCAGCCAGCCCAGAGAGAGCTGACCGCTCCCTGCACTTTAAAAGTTCAGAGGATTGATATATTATATATATTCAGATGTGAGTCTCCACCAGGAGGAAGTTGCTCAGGCGTGGCGTGGGGTTTCACTCTGGAAACATGGCTGTGCTTCTCCACCCCACCCCCACCCCCAACACACACACACCTGAGCTTTCAGGCCTGATCCCTCTCGAATTTTGCAAACATTTCCTGCCACTCAGCATTTCTACAGGCTTAGGATCTGGTACCCTTTGCCACCTCTGCGGGGAGGGGGGGGGGGTTGGGAGTGGCAAAGAGACCAAAGACCTGGCTCTGCCCGGCGGCGGCGGCGCACGCCTTTAATCCCAGCACTCGGGAGGCAGAGCCAGGCGGATCTCTGTGAGTTCGAGGCCAGCCTGGGCTACAGAGCGAGTTCCAGGAAAGGCGCAAAGCTACACAGAGAAACCCTGTCTTGAAAAACCAAAAAAAAAGACCTGGCTCCATATTCCACGATAGCATCCCTCCAAGGAGAGTGTTCAAGAGGAAGGGGGCTAGAGAAGTAGTTCTCAACCTGGGGGTCATACGACCCTTTCACAGGGGCCACATATCAGATATCCTGCATAGCAGATATTTACATTACGGCTCATAACAGTAGCAGAATTTTAGTTATGAAGTAGAAACGAAAATGATTGTGTGGTCGGGGGTCACCACAGCATGAGGAACTGTGTTAAAGGGTGGCAGCATTAGGAAGGTTGAGCACCACTACAATAGAGGAAACTATTTCTCAGCTTCAACCAGCTTGCGTGTGAGAGAGAGCAGCCCAGTGTCTCCACCCCACGGCTCTCTAGTGCCCCCTGCAGACAGAGAGTGTCATACCTCCATCCTCTCTACCAGAATCGCGGTTTGGGGTCTAGCCTCATCTTTTTAAGAAGTTTCCCCCACATCCTTGCCTCTGAGTCAAGGACCATTTTAACCCCAAATAAATACACAAGACATCAGGGAGTCTCTTAAGGTGGATGGTCAGCACCGGGAAACAACCAGTGCCATGAACCTGAGGCCGCCTCAGCCTCCCCTGCAAATGCCACTGGGCGAGGAAGACTGCTTCTCTGTGGTGATTGGTGGGAATATCGGCGATGACTCTCTGCTCCCTCCCAAATGCAGCCAGAGCCTCAAGCATCAAGAAGTCCCCATCTTTCTCTGGAAGGCACATCTCTTACGCACGCCAAGCTCTCATAGTCCACTCGAGACGGCAACATGGCCTCTAATACTTTGGATGGTTGAAGTGAGGGCTGGTCCCAGGTGGTGACTTTATACTATCATGTGGTGACTGATGAGCAGCAAGATGGCAGGTGGACAGACTGCTCAGAAGACAGTGTAGAGCAGGGAGGTGGAAAGCCCAAGGGCTTCATCCACCCATCTTTCTCTCTCTCTCTCTCTCTCTCTCTCTCTCTCTCTATATATATATATATATATATATATATATATATATATCCCTTTCTTTTTCCTTCCCTCCTTCCTCCTTTCTTTCTTTCTTTCTTTCTTTCTTCCTTCCTTCCTTCCTTTCTTTCTCTTCCTTCCTTCCTTTTCTCCTCCTTCTTTTTCTTCTCTCTCTCTTTCTCTTCCTTCCTTCCTTCTCTGCTTTGGGAATCTGATTGCGTGTGTGTGGTGTGTGTGTGTGTGTGTGTGTGTGTGTGTGTGTGTGCGCGCGCGCGCGCACGTCTTTTTTGATCAGAAATTAAGAAGAAAAGTTCACAGATAGACAAACCAGGAGAGTGGACACAGACAAGAGACAACAAAGGGAAGAAGCCTGAGTTGTGGGATCAAATGACACCTGGCTCCCTTCCTGAGGTCACACCAGACCTGCTGTGCAGCCTCGGGGAGCTGGCTGAACCTCTCCGGGCCTCTGTGGCCTCGTGGTTTATGAAATGGAGTCTGCGGAGTGCTCACATGGGGCTGTTGCAAGGGCCACATGAGATGCACGGGAACAGTAAAGCCCTTGGTGTGCGACGCTGATCCCTGTCGGAAGCAGCATCCTGGACGACTCAGATTCCTCACCTGCTCCCACCAATGTCTCATCTGAAAGCGTCTTCCCCCAAACCCCAGCTAACTTGTGCCACTCTTCTGTGGGCCATCTGGAGTTCTTCTGGCCCTGTCACCATAGACATATTCTCTCTGGGTCGAGATGCACTCCTCTTAGGAACATGGCGACCTTTCAGAAGACCCAGCCTAATGCCATCCCTAGAGTTGGCCTCCTAAGATCCCGGTAAGGGTGACAGGCATATTTGGGAACCACTGCTGGCAAGTGCTGGCAAGAACCAACAGAAGACTTGGGCATCTCCCAGGAGATTACTGAGGCCACCTTTCCACGTTTCTGTTGTTCCACATGTGGCAAATGTGCAGTCCGCCCTGTGGAGACTCTTGGGACCTTGTTCTGAGCGGCAGGCAGAAGTGGTGTGTGCTTCTTACTGGTTCAGTACTGAATTCCCAGCACTGGCTCTGGTGACGACCTCTCCTCTATGGAGTCTGGGTTCTTACCCTCTCATGGGCACTGTTTCTTACAAACCCAACACCAGTGCTCAGCATTTGCACTGGCTGGTGTGACGTCAACTTGACACCAGCTGGAGTCATCAGAGAGGAGGGAGCCTCAGCTGAGAAAAATGCTTTCATGGGATCCAGCTGTAGGGCATTTTCTTCATTAGTGATTGAAGAGGGGAGGTTCCAGACCATGGTGGGCAGTGCCATCCCTGAGCTGGTGGGCCTGGGTTTTATAGGAAAGCAGACCGAGCAAGCTACAGAGAGCCAAGCCAGTCAGCAGCTCCCCTCCATGGCCTCTGCACCAGCTCCTGCCTCCAGGTTCCTGCCCTGCTTGAGTTCCTGTCATCGCTGTTTCTGATGAGGAACCGTTATACAGGACCGCGAGTGAAATAAACCCTTCCCTCCCCAAGTCGCCTTTTGGTCATGGTGTTTCATCACAGCAATAGTAACCCTAACTAGGGTAGCATTTAAACCCAAGCAAAAGCAGGAAGCTGGTTAGTAGTGCAGCACGGCCCAGAAGGCCCTGATTAATAGCCCACCACCACACAGAGGCCGAGGTGGCTTCCTAAATAAAAATGCAGAGGAAGGCAGGCCTGGAATGGACTTCAATGGGGTCTCACCCCCGATGATGGGGGAGTCACAGAAGACATCAAGTGCAATGGAAAACAATAAACCTCGTGACATCTCTCCGTGCCAAGTTGGTAATCAAATTCCAGTTGGCTGCATCAAAATGCAGGCACCAGAGTCCCTCATCTCCCCAGGGACACAACCTGGTCCCCTCACTTCCACAAACCCCTGTGCCCAGCTCGGGGCATGGCTGCCAACAAACCTGTAGCTAACTCCACCTCTCCTCCTCCTCCTCCTCCTCCTCCCCATCTCAGCTCCCAAACAGGATTGGATTTCTAAAGACTTCGATTATGTGCAGG